CAGGCAGGAATACACACACACACACACAGACACACACATCAGAGAGGAGCACATAGCAGGAAGAGGGGCATTGGCTTCTGCTTCCCACCTCCCGTTGCTCCTATTAATGTCATCTTAGTCAAGTCACTTTCCCGGCACCTCAGTTTTGCCCTCATCAAATGGGACAACAGTCTCCACCTACCTGGCCGGGGAACTGGAAGGGATGGGACAGCCAGCAAGCCATTCACCTGTCAGGCATTAAGAACTAAACTCAATGGGATGTTAAACCCAGAGATGACTAAATCTTTTGGGGGGGGCGGGGAATTTGCAGCCTGCAAAGCCTAATCCCATGGCATCAGGCCCGCTAAACATGCATGGGATAGCAGCAGAAGCCATGCCACCCCCCACTCGGTGCCCCAGCGGGCTGGCCCGCCACGCCTAAGAAGGCATGCTGTGACTTTGATGTGGGCCCCGCTGGATGGCACCAGGCAGGGCAGGACTGGTGGCCTGGGATAAACCTAGCCCAGATCGGCCTTTCTGGCCCAGCCAGACACGTCGAGGGCCCTCTGCGGTCTGCATTTCCAGGCAAGTGCCTGCTTGTGGGGGAACTAAAACTCCTGCTCTCTGAATTGCTGAGTCCTTAAACTCATGCATGCACAGATACACACATGCATGCCCAGATGCATCCACACACTGGCGCGTATGATGAATGCAGTGCTCGGGCACAAATTTGCACCCAGCGCACACACATCTGCACAGACTTCACCCACATACATGAGTGCACACTCCTATACCGCGGGCCCAGGGAGAGATGGCCTGCCTGGCTTGGCCCCATCCCCCCACTTCTGTAAGTTTCCTTCCCTGGCAACAGGTCTGGAAGAACTTTGGCAGGGGAGATAAGGCGCCGGGGCAGGGTAGGGTGGGGAAGAGTGGGGAGTGGAGTTGGGGGCAAGGGGACGGAAGGTCACTAACACAGAGTTTTAGTTTTCTGTCACTGTTCCACAGCCGCTGGCTTTATCAGTGGAAGCAAAGAGCCCTCTTTACAGAAGGTGTCCACTTAGTTTCCTGAGCCTTGTTTTACTTTTCGGTAAAGTGGGGGTGAGAACAGTCATGATGCCTCCCCTTTGGGGCTGAGGTGAGATTGAGCATGTGACGGTAGGAAAGAGACTTCCTCATCCTGGCGCTGGAGACGCTGGAGGCGCTGGAGGCTCCGGAGGCAGGGCTGGGTTCAGCCCCCCCCCCCCCCAGTGGGGGGAGACCCTGTGGTTAAGCAGAGATGTGTGCCACAGCAGGGCACCTTGAACTCACCTGGGCCTTGCTTCCTGAGCCCCCCCCGCCCCCCGCTCAGCTCCAGCTGGCTAGCTGTGTAACCTCGCGTGGGTTGTTCCTTCGCTTCTCTGCCTCAACCCCCACATCTATACTGGGGAGCAAGGTAGCACCTGCCTGTTCAGTGCATACAGGGAAAGCACTGGGAATGGCACCTGGCACTTAGCAAGCCCCCCAAAACTGAATTGTCATTGCCATGGAGGTGACTGAGCTGAAGGAGAGCCCTTGCCTCTTGGGGCCTCCTGACCCTGACCCTGGGCTGGGAGCCATCCCTCAGGTGTGGGGCCGAGCCCTCGGGCTGTGAAGGGAGAGCACCAGGAGTGGCCGGAGGGGCCAGGACGGGTGATGCCGCTCAGGTCATGGTCATTTCAGCACCACGACCGGCCCTCTTAACCCCACGGCCCATAGCCCTTGACTTATCCCCCTCCTTGGTTTTCCACTGACATGTCCACTCTTCTCTGTCCCGTCTGCCCTACTTCAACCCAGGTGATCCTCACCTCTCACCTGGTCCATGCTGTCTTGCTCTTGGCAATCAAGGGAATCCACCTAAAAGTGAGCTCCACTCCTCGATCCCCTGTTTTCATCCCTGCAGCAGCCCCCCGTTGCCCTCAGAGTTCAGGTTCTTTTCTGTGGCTCCTGACTGCCCACCGCTCCCCCGTGCGTTCCTGTGCTCCAGCCACACCAAACACAGACAGCCATCGCCAGTCTACCATTGGTGGGCGCTGCACGGGGCAGGGTGTTAGTCAGGATGCATAGACTAGCCTCTGTGACAAATAGCCCTACGTGCTCAGCGGCTCGCTCTGTGAGTTTATGTCTGTCACACTGTATGTCCAACGTGTCTCCGTTAGGGGGAGATCCTCTGTTCCATGTGGTCCCCTGGGGTCCCAGGATGATGGAAGCTGCATCATCTAGAACACTCAGCCTTCTCTCCCTCTGTGTAAGGTCAGGAGTTCTGGAGGGTCACAGGCAGGGCTTACATGCTCCAGCCTGGAAGTGGCACACAGACTGCTGCCCCCGATCTACTGGCTAGAACTAATACCGTGGCTGCCCAGTGGCAAGGTGGCTGGAACGTAGGGGGAGCATCACTGGCCACAGACAGGTGCGCCCCCCCCCCCACTGCTGCTGCTGAAGGTGAAGCAGAGTTGGGGGGCTGGATCTGAGCCTGCTGACTTGCCCCTTACTTTCCTACCCCCAGCCCCGGTCCAAGGCAGTTCCTCAGCTGCCATCTAATGACCAAGACCCTAGGGACATCTTGGTCCTTGCTGTTCTTTCCTGAGAAGACCCCCAAGGACCCATTTCCCTCAGGACCCAGCACAGAGAAAAGACGGGCTGCTCCTCAGCAAGTGGTGGCTTGTATCTTACACACACTGACTAAATCTCTTTCTGATTCGGTTTGCCTTATCGAACTGGCCACAAGGAGGCTCAGACTCAAGTCCGAGGTGCACCTCCACTGTGTAGAGGACCTGACAGCGCACATTCAGTAGCTTAGCTCCCCCCGAATATCAGGTGATCTCTTTATTCCTGCATTTTCCCTCTGTCCCCATGGCCTCGCCATGGCTTTTCCATCTGCTTCCATCTTGTGTGCTCTCCATTTCTGTAAGGCTTCTTACCTCCTTTCTGGGATCGGACGGACATTAATTAGTCAGTCTGTTCCTGCATTCTGGGCTGCTTCATATAGCTCTGGCAAACGCAGCTCCCAAAAGGAGAGTTGAAATGTCTGAGCTTCACAGGACAGACCTGTCCCAGGAGGCTGGTGGGCTTCCTGTAGAGGGTTTGACTCGTGTGTGGGATCCCCGATCACTGTGACTTCTTGAGGTCAACAGTCTAATCTTGTGCCTTTCAACTGATCACAGAGCAAATGCCTTCTTTGTCCCGACCCTGGGGGTGCCCAGCCAAATATGACTGCCTTTGGGAAATTCTTAGGGCCTGGGGGTGGGCAGAGCTGTGTGCTGGGCACTCCTGCAGCAGAACCCCGGGCCTTTCTCTGAAGAACCTGCAAGCAGCAGAGGAGAAGAGCCCGGACACCAGACTCTGGAATCAGGGCCAGCAGTGTCAGGGGCCTGAGGGCAGGGAGGAGATGCGGCTGGTGGGGGGTAGAAGAGAGGATGAGAGCTCTGCTACTTGGGGTGGCAAGGAAGACTCTGGAGAAGGGGCCTGGGAGCTGGGGGAGGGAGGGTTTGGATTTATGGGGATGGGTACAGGGATTACGGGGCTGGGAAGGGCAGGCCAAGCAGAGGGGAAGGCAAGGGACCGGAAATGCAAGAGCAGGTACAAGGGAAGCTGGGATGTTCTTTATCTGGAAAGTACATTTTAGAAGATGAGCAAGAAAAGGTGAATCCTGGAATATTGCCGGGGGGGGGGACACCACACCGGAAGGCCTTGAATGCCAGACTGGGTTTGGCCTTGCTCCTACAGGGCAGCAGTGAATCAAGAGCGTCCAAGGGTGAACTCAGTTGGGGGAGGAGTGAGGAATACAGCCAGGCTTGGTGTCCAGAAGGCTCTCTCTGACCTAGATGAGGAGCATGGACGGGCAGGCCCAGTGGAGTCAGAGACTGGGGTTAGGGGTTTGACCCAGGCAGCGGTGGCCACATGGTGTCATGTGTTTGGCCACTTATGAGGCCGAGACCCTCTGCTGCCATCCATGACCTGGCCATGCTTCCCCTACAGCTTGGGCTCTCTTCACTCCCATCATCCCATTTCCATGTTTATGTGTGTGTATGCATATATATTCTTTTCTTTTTCACATTTCCTTGCTAATCTTACTAAACCACATGTAATTCTCGAAACATTCCATGTTTGCTTCTCTCTCAGGGCCTTTGCTCAGGCTGTTCCATCTGCCTGGGACGTTTTCCCGCCACCTTACCTTTGTCCTGCCAACATGGCCAACTCCTGCTCATCCTTCAAATCACAGCTCGCTTGTCACTTCCTCTGGGAAGCCCTCCCGGACTGCCATGTACAAACCTTTATTATTACCTATAGTACACTGAGTCCCAGTGGCCCACCTTCCCCTAGTGGCCTTACTCACAAGACTCTTCACTTCTCTAAGGTTGGGCTCCTGCTTACTCTCTCCAAACCCCTGGTGCCGGGCACAGGGCCTAGTCACACAGTGGTGCTCAGTAACTAGAGTGAACAAATATGGGGCTGGATGAGGAGCTAGGGAAGCTCAAGATGCCCAAACGATAATAGTGGTAGTAATTACGACTGTAGATCAAGGAACCTATAATTTAGTCCTGACGACAAGTCTGTGAGACAGATGATTTTGTGATCCCCATTTTACAGATGAGAAAACTGAGGCCGCAGAAGTTAAGTCACTTGCCCACCCAGCCCGGTAAGAGGCAGAGCTGGAACTGGAGCCCACGCAGGCTGGCTCCAGAGGACACAGTGTGACCCACACAGCTGGGCTGAGTGGGGTGGGCCGATAGGGAGGAAATCTGAATTTTCTCTCTGGTGTTTCTGCCTTTTGGGTTGACACGTGAAGAGATGACAAGCAAACAGGTCAGTGATAATCATCCATCATCTCACCAGATCCATAGACGTAGCCACAATGACGGCCTGTTTGGTTGCCCTTGATAGCGCCCTGTCCACATAGAACCGACCACTGCCCTGGTCCTGCCCTCTCCAGGGGAGCTCCCCGAGTGTCCCGCTGTCAGAGCCGTGAGCCTCATGCCCCCCCTCGTCCTGTTCGTTTCCCGCAGATGTCATGGCATCCCCAGTACCGGAGCTCCAAGTTCCGCCACGTCTTCGGCAAACCAGCCAGCAAGGAGAACTGCTACGACTCGGTGCCCATCACCCACAGTGTCCACGACAATCACTTCTGTGCTGTGAACCCCCGTTTCATTGCAGTCGTGACTGAGCGCTCCTGTGGGGGGGCCTTCTTCGTCATTCCCTTGAACCAGGTAAGGACGCCGGCTAAACCTCAGGCCCACACAGCCCTCTGGAGGCAGTGCAGGCAGCGGAAGTAGAAAGAGCCTGGCTTTCTGGTCTCATGTGTGGGTTCAGATCCTAACCCTGCCTCTTACCAGCCATGTGACCTTGAGTCCTTTCACTTCTTTGAGCCTTGGTTTCCTTATTGGGAAAAAAAATACGTATTCTGGGATTTCTGCTTCTAGCAGTTGCCTAGCTACTCCTAAGACCTGCCCTCCACCCCACTGCAAAATAACTCACTCCTGAATAAAATATCATTTGTAATGCATTGCTGGGCTCACAAGACATTGGGAAAATCTCCAAAGCCACCTCCCCTCCCCAACAAAAGGAAACAAATCTTGAGCCAAAAATCTAACTGGGAGAGGTAAGCAGTAAGCAAATAGAAAGCAGCAGCTTGTCCTGCAAGCAAACGTTAACCTAACATAAACGGATAGGTTAGACCATACGCAATTGCTGATTATTTAACAGTTTTGACCCCAGAGTGGTAGTTTCATATAGCTTAACCGAAGAGCCAACCTTTTCAGGATGCCAAGCCCGAGTCAGCTCAAGGCAGAACCTCCAGAGGGGCTAGTGGGATCCTGGCTGGTCGTGCCTCTGGTTCCCAGCAGAGGCAGATAGGAAGTTTCTCTAGAGGAAAGCATCCCACCTGTGGACAGGACTCCCACAGAGTAAGATCAGGCAAATTCGTAATCTGAGATCACCAGGCATGTGAGCCGCCATGAATAAGAGCCAGCAGAAACAATAAACGACAGACTTAGACACTGCCCACCCCCGGCCTGCCCCAACAAAGGACTTCAGAAGTCCCAGTCATAAATATAAGATGAAATCTCATAGACCGGGTTTTCTGATCCAAATGGAATTGAATTAGAAATCAATTACAAAAGATAAATTTTCAATTCCCATTCAGCAGTATCTCAGCAGTAGCCCACAATGAGATACCACCACAGCCGCCAGATTGGCAAAAATGTAAAGATCTAAGAATAGTGAGTGGCGGGGGCGCCTGGTGGCTCAGTTGTTAAGCGGCTCTCTTTGGCTTGGGTCATGATCCCAGGGTGCTGGGATCGAGCCCCACGTCGTGCTCCCTGCTTGGCAGAGAGCCTGCTTTTCCCTCTCCCTCTGCCTGCCACTCTGCCTACTTGTGCTCTCTATCTCTCTATCAAATAAATAAATAAAATCTTTAAGAAAAAAGAAAGAATAGTGAGTGGTGGTGAGGATATGGTGCCATGTAAACTCTCAGACTCTTCTGGTGACAGGGTAAACTGTCGCACGTGTTTTAGAACAAAATGTGATAGTTTCTAGTAGAGAGGAAAATACACACACCCTATGACCCAGAGATTCCATTACTGGGTATATCCCTGCAATGTGTTTATGCGCACCAGAACACAATTACAACAATGTTCATATTGTCACCAAACTGCAAAACCTCAAATGTCCAAGAATTACATGAATAAATTTTGATATATCCATACTATGGAATATACATAATCATGAAAAAGAACAACATATATATGCATACCACAACATAGATGAATCTTTTTTTAATATTTATTTATTTGAGAGAGAGAGAGAGAGAGAGAGCAGGGGGAGGAGCATAGGGAGAGGGAGAGAGAATCTTAAGCAGACTCCTTGCTGAATGCAGACCCCCCGACACAGAGCCTGACCCAGGGCTCAATCTCATGACGGTGAGATCAGACCTGAGCCGAAACCAAGAGTCGGACACTCAACCAGCTGCGCTACCCAGGTGCCTCAACATGGATGAATCCTAATGACAATTTTGAGGGAAAGATACCAAACAAATTACAAACTGTCTTATTCTGTTTACCTAAAGATAGATACCGACTAAATTAAACTCTGCCTTAAGGGATGTATAAGTAAGTAGAAACATTTTAAGGAAGAGCAAGCAAGGGACTATCAAGAAAACTAGGATAATTATCAACTCCTGAGGGAAGGGGGAGTTATGACTGGAAAGTGTCCCATGGTTGGGGGGGGGAGTCTCCTTTGTGTTGGTAATAGTTCATGTCTGAACCTGAGAGAGTGGCAGATAAATGGGCAATTTATTTTCCAGCAATTCATTAAGCTGAACACTTACATTTTATGCTTTTTTTTTAATATGCTACATTTCACACCAAACACATACATAAAGATGATAATATGTTCATGTGGTTTTATAGGCAATTTCTATATAACTTCCAAGGAACTGATTATTCCAATCTTTTGCAAACATTTCTGGAGAATAGGAAAAGATGGACTGCTCCCCTCTTTGTTCTGTGAGCCAGTGTAACCTTGCTTCCAAAACCAGACAAGGACAGAACAAGAAAGAAAAATGACAGGCCAGTTTCACTCAAGATGCATGTAAAATGGGGCGCCTGGGTGGCTCAGTCGGTTAAGCAGCTGCCTTCGGCTCAGGTCATGATCCCAGGGTCCTGGGATCGAGCCCCACATCGGGCTCCCTGCTCGGTGGGGAGCCTGCTCCTCCCTCTGCCTCTCCACCTGCTTGTGTTCCCTCTTTCTCTCTCTCTGGCAAATAAATAAATAAAATCTTTAAAAAAGAAAAAAAAAGATGCGTGTAAAATGGCTAGCAAACTGAATCTAGCAGTGAAAGACCAATATTAAAGGTGACCTAAGTAAATGGAAATGAATGCCAGGATGAGAAGTGTGAACTGTATTCTAGAGCTGAGATTTTTCAAGCTGGGGAGGGACAAGTGTAAAATGGGATTTATGGAAAGACTTGAAGATCAGAGCTCAGAGGTCCCCTAGAGATGACCCATTTGACTTGTTTCTCCCAAGCTCTGGGTGCTTTTAAAAGATTCTACCCGCCAAACAGACTGTATTCTCAATTAATTGAATAATGTATTTTTCAGATTTTTATTACTCAGCCTCTTTCAGAACTGTCACAATTTCTAATTCAATTAACTACTGACTATAAATAGGTACTAACAACTGATTTAAGAAAATAAGTTGCTTTGATGTGATGGAGTGGACCTAGGTGGGGAGAGTAGACCTAGTTTAGAAAGATAGGATGATCAGAGAAGGCCTTTCTGAGGAGGCAGCATTTGAGCAGAGATCCCCTTGAAGCTCTAGAAGCAGTGTTCGGGAAGAATAAATAGCAAGTGCAAAGGCCCTGAGGTGGGAACGGCTTCGGTGTGGGCCCTGGGTTTGGTGTGTTTAAGACACAAATTGGTACAGATTGTCACAGGGGCAAGAGGAGTGTGAGGTAAGGTCAGAGAGGGGGCAGGGCTGGGACTGGAAAGGCCTTGGAGGCCAGGGCAAGAATCTATTATAGGAGACCCTATTCTGAGTCCAGTGAGAAGCCACTGGGCAGTTAAGACTCACTTGTCCTGTGCAGCCTGATCTAAGTAAAATGTGTGATTCCCTTTGGGCTTTTTGAAATTCCATAAACAGCTCAAGGACACATGTTAATTGCTACGGTCACAGACTCCTAGGAACCCAAGCAGGATGGGAGCTGGAAGCCACTAATCAGAGCTCATACCTGAGTGTCAGAACACAGATTCCGATTCGGTGGGACAGAAGTGGGGCTGGGCAGTTTGCATTCCAGCAAGCTCCAGAGTTGCTCTTTGTGCTTGGTTCCTTTGAATCGTGGTCCAGAAAGGTGAACACATTGCATTTGGTGGATATTTTCCTGGGTAAGCACATGCAGTGTGCTCGAATAGGACCGGAGGAGAGAGGGAGAGGGTGCGTGTGCTGGGCCTTTGACCCAGCGCGTCCCGGTGGACAGGCCTACAGGGTTAGCAGGGACAGTGCTTACGCTGACGCCTTCATTAGCCCCTCTACAGGAAGTATTGCCCCATTGTGCAGATGAGGATGCTGAGGCTCAGGGAGATGACGTCAAAGGATCCTAAGCCCCGAGGGTGAGGGCCAGAACATGGCCCGGCCCTGGGTGTGGCCAGTGGGGCCTCGGTCTCGATTCACTGGCCTGCGTGCAGCTTCTCGGTTTGGGCTCTGGTTTCTAGGGGCCCCTTGTCGGTTACCAGGGATGACATCCCAGCCAGGCACAGAAAGGTCTTGGTAAGCTGGTGCTGTGAGAAGGGAGGTTCAAGCTAGCTAAGTATCTAATGGAGCGTATACGGGAGCATCAGTGTTGGAAGGTGCCTGGCCTCACCATGGTGTCCTGGAGGTTATTCTCAGCAGGGCCAGGCTGCCCCAGGGGCCAGGTGACTCTGCAGGCAGCCTCCTTCCTCCCACCATGACCCGGGGCCGGCCTGTTTGGAGGGAGGCTCCCACAGCCTGGGCAGTGCTTGGCAGGAAGGTCTGGGGGCCGGTGAGCCTGGGGCCCTGCCTGCAGCCGAGCCCCCCCTGGGGGGTTGCGCAGGGTGGACTTTGCTGCGAGGTGTGGTGGGTGGGGAGAAATGAACGCAAGGGCAGGGAGAGCCCTGGGGGTGGGCCCGGCGAGTGGACCGCGTTGGAGGGGGCCAGACTGACACTGTGGCCTCCAGGTGCGTGGAGAAGGGGAAGGAGGTGTTGGAGAGCCAGACTGAAAGGCAGAAGTGGCCTCCTGATTATAAATGTCCCTGTCGTGACAGGGCTTTTAGCAGCTCAGTCAATAGCCCATGAGACTGGCTAATGGTGTCTGTTAATATGAGACCTCAGCAGAAAACCCTGTTAGGCAGAGCAGCCCGGGGTGGGGGAGAGTAGTGGGGTGGGAAACCAGCCATCTCTGAGAAGGAAGAGAAGTTGTCTGCAGCTGGGTCTCCGTTTGGGAGGCCTGGGAGGAGTGCTGGCCCAGCTGAGCCATGCCTGGCCCCGAAGCATCTCCCGAGTCCGTGGCTCAGCCGAGTCTGAATGTGGCTGGCCTCCTATCAGCCAAGGCCAGCCTGACCATTAGCTCTTTGCAGAAACCTTCCAGACAAAAATTAGGGCAGGGCTCGGGGCCAGAGAGCAATTGGGTGTGCCAGAGCAAAAGGCCCAGCACTGCTCATGCCCTTTGAGCCAGGAAATGGCCTACGGCAAGGCAAGGCTGTGGGCAGAAGGGGGGCAGGACACTGACTCAGGGCTGAGAGCCTCCAACACAGCAAGTGTGGCACAGTCAGCACCTGGGAGCCAGAGCCCTGGGCTGCAGCCCTGCTCCGCCCCCCCCACGTTCCCTGGGACCCCGAGCAAGTCCCTCAAGGCTGGGGCCAGTGAGCGTGCTCTAATCCATTAGTGATGCCTGCCACGGGGGCAGAAGAAGAGAGTTTTGCCGTGTTTTTACCATTCCCGGTCTCTGAGAGCCTTTCAAGATCTGTAGTTTTTACAACATTTTGAACTAATCCAGGAAGGACCCATCTTTTCAGAAAGTTTGGAGTTTTGTGTTAAATGCCTTTTGTTTATTGCAAAATCCACATGGTTTTATAGAAAGTTTGGAAAATTAAAAACAAACAAACACAGAAGATGATTAAACTACCCATTTTCCCGCCATCTAGAGATAAAACCATGAATAGCATTTTGGTGCATTTCCTTCCAGTCTTTCCTCCCTCATTTTTGGTGCACATGGGCATGCGTACACACACACATAACAAAAGCTGCTCTTATTTGAGCGCTTCACTGTTCGGCTTTTCATGCGTTTTACCCTCATAACAATCCTGTGAGGAGGAGGTTATTATTCACGTTTTACACATGAGGGAAAAAGCTTGCACAGTTTGAGCAGGTGCACGACACGATCAGACTTTGATTTTTGAAAGCTCACCGACAGAAGGGCCTGAGGCTCGGCAAGAGGCTGGTGGCTGGAGTGGTGGTCCTGCGGAGACCTGGCCCAGGGCCTGCAGGTGCATGTTCTCCCTTCTGGGCCTGGCTCCAGGTGCTACCCACTGCAGGGGGCAGGGAGCCTGTACCTCTCTTCCTTGTTGAAGAGCCCAAACGGACCTCATACATCACTCAACCGACACAAGTCCAAATCCTTTCCTTTTCTCTGTCTGATTGTATATGTGAGGGTATAATTTTTTTCTGATGCATTTGAGGATAAATTACATATATCTTTGACCTTTACCCCTAAATACTTGTGTTTCCTGAAAGTAGGAATATTCTCTTATGTTACCATATTCCATTATCAACTTCATGAAGCTTAACATTGCAACAATACTATAACCTACCTTTCATGTTCCAATTTATCAAATAATGCCCTGTATAGAGTTTCCCCTCCAGTATGGGATCCAGTAAAGGGTGGGGTGTCTACTACCCTTTCCCGAAGGGCAAGAGCTGAATTGGGCAGAGTATTTGTGAAGGGGAGCCCAGGACCGCTAGCTCTGTTTGCAGAGCTACTAAGATGCATGCATAAGCCCCCGTGAACCAGGATCTCGGTGTCTGTGTTTGCTAGGTTGCCGGAGTGACCCAGAAGCTCTGTGTCTATTCCTGTGGCAGCTGTGGCTTTGAAGCCTTATGAAGCCAGGTCGGCGACACCACTGCATCTTTCCTCAGTCGCAGTGGGGCACCGTCTCAGTGGTTTCTGCAGAGTTGGGGAGGTGAGGGAAGGAGAGGTGGTGGGTGTTCCTTGAGTCTGCTCTGTTCTTGAAAGATCTTGTTTAAAGACCCCGAAAGCATTGATGAGCTGCCGGCTCGCGTACTACATCGTGTGCCCCCGCCACCTTGCATAAGGCCTGTCCCCTACGTATGTCGTGGATGTTGGCCAGTTTTCTTCTCAGCTGTCTCTTCCCTGTAGATGGAAAACTGGGTTGCAGAGCATTCATTCTCTGGGGGCGGGGGGGGGAGGGGGCTTCAGCACCTGGGGTGGGATGGTGGATGTGGACGAAGCCCGCGTTGGTTGTCAGGCAGAGGGCCTGGGTCCTGGTGCCCGTTCTGCCAAGCCATGCAGCGCGATGTGTGAAATGAGGGTGCTGGTCACTGCTAGCTCTAGGTTTCTGTGACTGAACGGGCGCGGTGGTCCCATGACCCAGGAAATCCAGGACTGTGTGCGGAGCTGCAAGTCTCCGCTCAGCGCACCTGTCCTCCCAGCACCCACACAGTAATTCTCAGCAAGCCAAGGGGAGGGGGAGGAGATGCTCTTTCTTTTTTTTTAATTGAAATGTAATTCACATACCACAAAATTCACCATTTTAAAATGTACAATTCAGTAGGTTTTTAATATAGTCACATGCTTGTGTAAACATCACAAGATATTCAAAATAATTTTGTCACCCCACAAAGAAACAGCATACCCATTAGTAGTCACTTCCTATCACCCTCCTCCTGTCGCCCCCCACCCCCCGGGTCCTGGGCAACCACTAATCTGCTTTCAGTCTCTATGGATTTACCTGTTTTCAGGTATTAGTCAGGGTTCTGAAGACTCGGTACTAGAAGATGCATTAATTTGCTCTTAACAAGGAAACTGCGTCTGGTACCACATCTGGTCATTTATGTGGAATCCTGCAATGTGTGGCTTTTTATGTCTGACTTCTTTCACTTAGCATGTTTTCAAGGTTCGTCCATGTTGTAGCATGTGTTGGTTCTTCATTCCTTTTTTTTTTTTTTTTTGGCCAAATAATACTCCATTATATGAATATACCACATTTTGTATATTCATTCATCCATTGATGGACATTTGGGTTGTTTCCACCTTTTGGCTATTGTGAATAACGCTGCTATGAGCACTGGTATGTGAGTTTTTTGTAGGCCTGTGTTTTCCCTTTTCTTGGGGATATACCTCGGGGTGGAATTGCTAGGTCACATGGTAACTCTATGTCTAACTTTGAAGGAGCTGCCAGACTGTTTTCCAAAGTGGCTGCACCATTTTTGCATTCCCACCAGCAGTGTCTGAGGGCAAATATCCTTCTACTGATTACCTGCTATGTGCTAGGCACTGTGCTAGACCCTTTCCACACCTCATCTCCTGTGATCCTCATGTGAACCCTGGGAAATACCTATTATTGCCTTCATTTTACTGAGGAAGACATTGAGGCTCAGAGAAGTGATGTGACTCCCCCAGCATCACACAGAGAATGGTGGTCGGGCCTAGATTCACACCCCGTCTGTCCCTTACGTTTTCCTGTCTACTCAGTGATTGCTGATTGCCGAGGGACCGTCCAGATGCTTAAGTGGGGTTAGCCCCCTCTTCTCCCCAACACTCCTGGGCACTGTTTTGCAGACGGGAAAGTTGGACCCCCACTACCCAAGGGTCTGCGGGCACAAAGGGAACGTCTTAGACATCAAGTGGAATCCTTTTAATGATTTTGAGATCGCCTCCTGTTCTGAAGATACCACAGTGAGTGTCAGCGCGTGAGGCGGTTCCCTTTCCCGAGAGGAGGGGGCTTGGGGCACGGGGAGGTGGAATGGCATCTGTTCTGGGCTCTGATGCTCCTGATGCCCTGATCCTTCATGAGGTGAGGTCACTATGGCGGGGAGGAGCTCAGTGAGATTGTGCGGGAGAAGTTCTGGGCTCTGGGACTTGGGGCACCACCCCTTTAGATCTTCTCTCTGGACCTCAGTCCCACTACCTCTAGAATGGGCATAATAGCTCCCAGCTATCTTATGAGGATCCACTGAGACTCGTAGTCCAGTGGAAAAGCCCATCTTCTGGGGGAACTATAAAATGCTGTGAGGAGCATTTTTTGTTGTTGCCAGAAAATACTGTGACACTTAATCTCACAGACAGTGGGGAAAGGGAGCTTTAAAAGCTCATATAAGTGGAATCCTTACATGAATATGGGCACCATAACCATCCCCAAAGCTTCAGCCCCACCACCTTTTTGAGCCCCTGTTCTGTACCAGGGTCGTAATCCCTGCTCCCCACAATGTTCGATGTTATTTATAATTTATTCTGTGCCCACCTCTAAAATGCAGTGAGTATGGCTTAAAACAAAAGACACAGCCCACAGTCCTGACTCTCACTATTTCACCCTGTCTTCCTGGCAACCCCACAAGGTAGGATATTTTTCTTATGGAGAACCTGAGGATCTGAGAGGTTCAGCAGTTTGCCCAAAGTCACACAATGGATGCTGAGCAAGGCCTTAGACTAAGGCTTGATTCCAGAGCCCAATATATCTCCACTGAGCTATGCCCCTTCCCTAAATAGCAGTAGCCACGGATGGAGGAATTGAAGAAATGATCCTTGGGACGTTGGCTGTGAAGGGTTGCAACTGCTGAGCTCCAGGTTTAGCTCAGAGCTGCCTAGCAGTCAAGGCAAAAAGGGAAATAGAATGTATTACGGAACCCTCACTGTCTGATGAAAGGAAACAGAGCAGTTCCTCAGGAGAAGCAGGTAGAAAATTCTAAGAGGACTTGTGTCACTTTGCACAAGGGGATGCCAAGGAGCATAAAGGACAGCGTCTGCTGAGGTAGTTTCACTGAAGACACGGTCAGGCCCTGGGAGAATTGGCCTTGTCTCCAGGGGCGGGATAACCAGTATCGGAGTCTGTCCCCACTCCTAGAATACCTGCCTTTTCAAGGCCTGCTTTGAAGACTCCCTTCAAGGTCTTTATGAAATTCCTAGCTATCTTCATCTCCTGCCCCCATTCCTTCCCAGATGCCCCGGGGGCAGGAGGAGTGCACCTGGCTCTGGGCAGGGGCGTGGCAGTGCCTAACCCCAGGCCCTCCCATGGAAAGTGCTCGGCTGTGTCCTCCCTGTCCCCCGCACCCGTGGGGCAGGGCTGGCCCTCTAGCTCTGAGGAGCATGCAGGGATGGTATCTGCACACAGATCTGCCCAGAGTCCACCGTTCAGCGGCTGCCGGTCCCGTGCAATCATAGCGTTCAACCGGTGCCTCATCGGGAACCTCTGGCACTCATGGGCTTGCCTTCCTGGGGTTAAATCCAGATGACCAGGGAGTGAATATGTGTTGAATTGAAAGCAAAGTCTACCTGAAAACCCTGTGTTTCTCTGAGGGAAAGGGGATGTATAGTCACCTAGGGGCCTGAGAGCTCTGAAGGAGGACAAAGAACATCAAGTTTCTGCCATCCCCTCTGTGCCCCCCCCCCGCCCCCCAGCTCCATTTGTACGCCTCTTTAACAGGGACCTTGCTTTCTTCTGTGGAAGCCTCTTCCTTCCTTGGCAACACTACTCTGAAAGGAAGCCCCATCTCCTCTTCCCAGACCCTTCCTGTGAAATACAGTCCATGACCCCATCCAGCCTGTCCTTCTGGCCCTGCATCTTTCCTCTTTCAGCCATCCAAGGGGGCCACTCCAGAGGAAAGAGCTTGGCCCCACCCTGTCCTGCTCCGGAGACTGCCCTGGCTCCCTAGTATTCTGATGACAGAGCACAAACTCTTGCTCCGGGCATTCGGGGCTCTAGCCTGAGCCTTTGGGACAAGGAAGGGGTAGACAACTGTACTTTGAGGGACAGATATTCTAGGCTGGGAGGTGGATTTGATCTGACATCCGGCCTGGGAGTCAGGCCTGTGGCCCGCCCAGCTGCCCATGACACAGGCCATTAGGATGGCAAAGCTTATTACCAGGAGGCAGATTTGGAGGCCGGGGCTCAACTCTGGCAATGCCAGCCCCTACTTGGGCCGGAAGACCTTGGCAAAGCCTCTGACCCTCTGAGGGTTCCAGGTGCGCTTCCGCCGAGTGAGATGCATACGGAGAGCGCTCCCCTGGCCCTTCTGCTGGGCACTGCCAGTTCTGTGGCTTAGGGTGGCCGGGGTACCGAGGTGACCTGGCTAACAACGCGCCTGTGTCTCCCCTGAAAGATTAAGATCTGGGACATCCCCAAGCAGCTGCTGACAAGGAACCTCACAGCCTGCAAGAAGGAGCTGATGGGCCACACCCGCAGGGTGGGCCTGGTGGAGTGGCACCCCACGGCCGCCAACATCCTTTTCAGCTCTGGCTACGACTTCAAGGTGGGTCCATGCACTCATTTCCTGGGGCCGCCCTAACATGACCAAACTGGGCACTTAAGACAACAGAAATTTATTCTCACATAGTTCTGGAGACCAGAAATCCAAAATCAAGGTGTCAGGAGGGCCGCACTCCCTCCGAAGACCCTAGGGAAGCATTCTCCCGTGCCTCTTGTAACTTCCGGTGGCTCCCTGCATTCCCTGGCCTGCACCTGCAGCACTTCAGCCTGCCTCCAGCTTCACATGGCCTTCTCCTCTGTGGTTCTGTGTGTCCTCTCATCTTCGGATAAGGACACCGGTCATTGGATGTAGGGTCCACCCCAATCCAGTATGACCTCATCATAACTAATTACATCTGCAAAGACCCTGTTTCCTGATAAGGTCACATTCTGAGGCTCCAGTGGACATGAGTTTTGGGAGGGACACTATTCAACCCATTAGTCCTCCTGGAGGGGATAGGCTGGGCCCTATCCAGAGAAGCTTCCCACTGCCCCATTGACTGCCAAGCCGGCAGTCTGTGGGCCCTGGGGATTGGGAAAATTCATAGTGGAGGAGCCCTAGATTCTGCCTTGCAGTAGGAACTAGGAGAGTCCCTTGTCTTCTCTAGGCCTCAGTTTTTCAATTTGTACACAAATGGGGTTGGTGTGACCATAGCCATGGCTTTTAAACTCTCCCCTTCACAACCTAGGGCTTTACAGAGTCACTTTGGGCACCTCTGTAATCGATAAAGGGTGGGATGGGAGTGGTTGACAGAGCGTCTGACCCCCTTCTGATCAGAAGCACTCTTTTATCTGTTTATGTAGGATGTGTCTGCAGGGCTACCGTATATCGTTGTGCAAGTTATTCTACACACAACCCCATAGGGCGTAGGTCACGTCACGGGCTATGGGAACCAAGTGCCCTGGAGCTGTGCGGTGCACAACCTACACAGCTGAACATGGCAGCCCTGTTTATCTGTGTGAGGTGGAAACTGCTGCTAATAAGTGTGTGAAAGCCCCTGGACTAGCTCGTCCCCTGGGGTCCTCCCAGCATGGATGGTTTGTTGCTCCAAAGCAGACGGTGTTTTCTTTTCACCACCAGACAGCCTGACTCCCAGCTTCCCCTCCTGCCACGTGGCAGCTTCAGCCGGCAGATCCATCCTCTTACCCGAGGCTTCTTGGCCAGACTGCCATCTGCGGCTTCCCTCCTGGGGATACAGTGTTTCACTGCAGCCTGGCGGGCGTGCGACTGTGGGAGCCAGGGGCGGGGGTGGCGGCTGTGCTCAGAGCCAGCTCATTGCTGTACAGGTGATGGTCTGGAACCTGGACACAAAGGAGTCTGTAATCATGAGCCCCGTGCGGACAATTACCTGCCACCAAGGCACGATCCTCTCCATGTCCTTCAACACCAACGGCAGCCTGCTGGCCACCACCTGTAAAGACCGCAAGATTCGGATTCTCGACCCCCGGGCAGGGGCCGTCCTCCAGGTCTGTGCTGGGCTGGGGTCTGGCGTGGGGGCAGAGGAGCAAGGAGCGGTGAGGGACTGGGGGAGACTTCGGAGAACAGGGTGGTAATGCTGTCAGCATTGTGGCCAAGCCTTCACGTGTGCTAGCTCTGTCTGTCCTCTTGGCACTGCTGGGAGGTAGGATATGTCACCCCCATTCTTTGGATGAGGAAAACAGAAGCTGAAAAGAGGTCAGGTGACTTGCCCACCTTGAAAGCTGAGCTTTGAACCTGGTCTAACTCCAGAACTTGTCAGTGTGCCTTAGCTCTGTCAGGAGGCATGTCACTCCTGCCTGCCTGCTGTGTGACTGTAGACAAGCACTTCCTGTTCTCTGAGCCTCTGCTTCCCCATCTGCCAGGAGGATTGAACGAGATAATGCAGGTGACAATGCCCGCCCAGCCCCAGGCCTTGCATACAGTGAGCACTCAGGCATCTTCCAGCAAGAGCACGGAGCTCTATCCTAGGGTAGAGAACTCTGAGCAAAAATAGTAGGAGTGACTCCATGTGGATGGGAGGGTCTCTGGAAGGCTTCCCGGAGGTGGTGCCTCTGGGAAGATTCTCAGAGCAGAGCTAGGTGGTGAGCAAGGAAGGCATTCCAGGTACCACAGCGGCAGCAGCAAAAGCAGGGAGGCCAGAGCCCCTAGCTGCCACCCGCAGGCCCCTGACCGCACGTGTCCGTCCAGGAAGCCAACTGCACGGAGCACCGGGCCAACAAAGTGCTGTTTCTGGGGCACCTGAATAAGCTGCTGTCCACAGGCACATCCCGATGGAACAACCGGCAGTTGGCCGTGTGGGACCAGGTGAGTCTCCCGTGCAACCCTGCCCTGCCCCTGCCCTGCCCCTCGCCGTCACCTTTCAGCCGAGTGCTGGCTTCATTCATTCACTCCTTCATTCTATGCCCTGCCCATTGCTCAAGCATGTACTTAGCATAGCCTGCCTGGTGCTCAGGATGCAGGGATGGAAAATGGGGGGATGCCAACGGCCAGAGAGAGCGAGCCCAGACCTTGTGCATCTTCTCCTTCAAGGAGGGAGTGGGCCGTGGTGTTGGAGTCGGGGGGAGATGGCCACTCCGGGGAGCAGGACAGGGCAGGGGGTGGGGGGAGAGAGAGGAGATGTCCCCCTGGGCAGAAGGAACAGCTGGAGCAAGGGCTTGGAACCGAACATTGAGGCAGGTGGGCAGGGGGAGCGGCTGAGGGCAGTGAGGGTAGGGGCCAAGCCAAGCAGTATTGATTTGAAGCAGCCCTTGGCTAGAGTTTCAAAGACCGGACAAATCGCTTCCTCTGTCTGAACCTCCTCCTTCACCTTTCACAGCAAATACACAGGCAGAGGAGGGCTGGCGTGCGAGCAGGTGTGTGAGAGGTGATGGGTTGAAGGCAAAATGCTGGCAGAATAAAAGGTGGTGGTCTCTTTCCCTCTGTCTCCTTCCCTCTCACATGCACGTGCACATGCACGTGTGTGCGCGCACACTCACACTCACACTCAGACTCACCCAGAGCCCCCTGGCAGGCATTCCCATCTCCGAGAACACCACTGAGGAGCTCCAGGAGTGACCCACAGGCCTTCCTGGTCTCCCTTTCCTTGCAGGACAACCTCTCCAAGCCTCTCTCAGAGGTGGACCTGGATGGCTCCTCGGGCGTGCTGTTTCCCTTCTATGATGTGGACACCAACATGCTCTACGTGGTGGGGAAGGTCAGCCTGGCATGGGAGGGAGCCGGGAGCAGGACTTCCCCAGCCCAACCCTACCGCTAGTCAGACAGCAGCCGGGGGCTCTTGGGATGCAGGGCAGGGCTAGGGACGAGCAGGAATCTCCCTGTGGTGAACACGGTACCCCATCCCACTGTCCTGGCTCCCAGGGGCCAGGGCTTTGGTCAGACACCCCAAGCTTGTCGCTCCTCAGTTCTGGGGCTAGATGAGGAGGCACCGTCGGTATTTTCTCAATAGGGGTACCTTCGAATTTGGGGTGGAGCAGGTTTTCATTGGGTGGGAACATCCTGTACTTGACATTGTAGCTCCCACCCACCAATGCCTGGAGCAGCGCTCCCTGCCCCCTACCCCTCCCTGGTCACCAGCACAGCGACAACCAGAAATGCCCCAGCGGTGAGACCCACTGGGTGATCTCAGGACCCACCACTCCTGACCTTTATGTGCAGCTGGGAGTGGGACTCAGGCCTGTGCTCCCAGAGCTTCTGCCTTGGAGGCACAGAGGCGGGCTTTGGGTCATGGTTGGGGCGATCGAGTGTTAAAACGAGGACCCCCTGCTGCTTTGATGACAGCTCCCTGGTGTTCTCTTGTGTGGAGTGGCTTTGCCAGCGCTTCTGTCGCTGTAACACTGGGTATCTGCTACATGGCCGCGGGGGCCAGGAGGGGGCCGATGGGAAGCGGCTCTGAGTTGTACCCTCCCCCTCCTCAGGGAGATGGAAACATCCGCTACTATGAGGTGAGCGCCGACAAACCTCACCTGAGCTACCTGACAGAATACCGCTCCCATAGCCCACAGAAGGGGATGGGTGAGTATGGAACACTGAGGCCACGTGGGGCCTGGGGAGACAGGACCGAGTCAGATGAGGGCCCCGCCCCGGAGGGGCCCCCATTCAGGAGGGCAGATGGAGGATCAACACTGACTCTATGGGAGCTCTAATGGAGGTGTGCGGGAGGTTCTCTGGGAGCAAGCAGCAGGAAGTCAAGGAAGGCTTTCCAGAGAAGGCAACGCTTGAGGAGCCAAAAGGGGAGCAGAGCACAGCATGGGGAGAGAATGAAGGCGTTCTAGGCCAAGGTGGAGCAGTTACAACAGTAGCCATGACATAAGAGAGACTGACCTAGGAGAGCCCCTGCTTTGAAAGTGTATCTGGGGATCAAAACAAAACAAAACAAGACACGTCTCCATGTTGTCTATAAGAAACCCACTTGAACATGAAGACACAGCTAGATTAAAGGCAAAGGGAAGGAGAAAGACACCATGCTAGCACTAATCAACAGAAAACAGGGGCAGGAGCTCTGTCCAGAGCAGCTCGGGCACAAGCTGAGGGGGTGGTGAGGGAGGGCCTTGAGCAGAGCACGCTTCCCCTAAAGTCTAGCTAAAATCACTGAAGTCCTTGGACGTGAGGACCAAGTCTGATTACTTCAACCCCATTTTCCCAGCACAGGGCCCAGCCCAGCGTAGGTATTTGCTCATGAACTGTCTGTAGAGGGAAGGGTGGTGGGAGGAGGATGCTCTCTGCTCGTGCCCAGGTATGCAGTCTGGCTTTGCCACTCACCCCGGGTCCCCGTGACCCCAGCCCAGCCAGAACCTCTGAGCCCTCCTTGGCCGTCTGCCCGCAGGTGTCATGCCAAAGAGAGGTCTCGACGTCACCTCCTGCGAGATCTTCCGCTTCTACAAGCTGATTACGAGCAAAGGCCTCATTGAGCCTATATCCATGATTGTACCCCGGCGGGTAAGGGTGGTGTGGCCATCTGTGAGGGAGGTGGGAACCCCTCCTGGAGAGGACAGGCCCTGGCACCTGGAGCCCGGAGCCCATGCCCCTGGGGTAGCAGCAAGGAGGCTGATGGCCACTTCTCAAGGGAAAGGCCTTTCTCATTGTCAGTGCAGTGTTGCTGGGAGCTAAGGGTCCCGAGTCCCACCCCATCTCTGCTCCTGAGTTGCTGTGTGACTTTGGGCATGTCCCTTTGCTCTCTGGGCCTTGGTTTCTTCAACTCCTAGGTGGGGAAAGCCTGGACCCCAGATCCCTGAGGGCCCTCCCATCTGGGCGGCCCCTTTGCCACCCCAGTCCTCACTGTGCTGGCTTTTCCTACAGTCGGAGTCTTATCAGGAGGACATCTACCCGCCCACGGCAGGCGCCTGGCCGTCCCTGACAGCCCAGGAGTGGCTCCGTGGCATGAATAAAGGTGAGGGGGGGGGCAGACAAAAGGCCCCGTGTGAACGTGAGGGGAAATGGGAGTGTGCAGTGGCCCCGGTAGCTGCGAGGCGCGTGGTCTCTAGTTGTATTCTCCCATAACGCCAGCCAGCTGGTCCTTGACAGCCAGTCCCCAGCGGCTAGGATGGTTACGTACGGGTCAGAGACGGGAGGGGTTGTCCCAAGTGTCAGGAAAGTCTTTCCAAATCGAGGGATTTTGCTCCATGGAAAACTTCTTGAAACTCCAGGCTGTGCGGAGTGAGTGGGTAGTCACAGCTGGGTGCCTTTGCCCATCCCCCCCCCACCCACATTTTCAGTTACTTTTCGACCTAAGAGACCCTCTAGGCCGCAGCCCCCCCCCCGCCCGCCCCCGCCCCAGGGCCTTGTCCCGGTGCCGATGCCCTCCCGGTCCTGCCCACCTGAGGGCCAGCCCAGGGGAAAGGAGCGTGTGCTCTCGGCCCCAGGCCGGCGGCTGTCCCTGTGGCTGGGACCTCCCGCTCCTTCTGCCTCCCCTTTGGGTAGCACTTGGTCTGCTCCTCTCTGGGCCTCTTGCCTCTTCTGTGACTGACACCTTGCCTCCCCTGCTTCTCAGGGCTGGGGGGAGGATTCATGAACTGGTAGACGGCGGAGCGCAGTGCGTGTGGGACTGTCCCTACAAAGCAAGGACGGGGCTCCACTGGAGGCATTTGCCGTGTTTGGGGGCCGCTCCAGGGCGTGCACTCTGCTGCCCCTGCAAACCAGGCCTCGCTCAGATGATCACATGAGTGTGTGTTTGCGCTCTGGCTGCCCCGGGGTGCGGGCTGGTTCCCGTCTGCCTGGGGCCAGAGTTCCACTCCTGCCCCGAGGCTCTGTGCCTGTGTGTGTCAGCGTCTGCTCGTGAGCACTCAGGCCTCACACAGCCCTGTGCTTCCCCCCCCAGAGCCAGTCATGGTGTCCCTGAGGCCCTGCTCTGAGCTGCTGAGCCCCGAGCCGCTGCTCCCAGAGAGACCCCCGTCCGTCTCCACGGCCCCCTCCAACCAAACAGAGAAGGTGGTTGTAGAAGATGGCCGGAGATCCTTCTCCCTGCCGGAGGAGACGGCGCCCAGGCAGGCAGCAGCAGAACGCAGGCCGGAAGAGAAGACAGCTCGGCTCACAAACGGCTTTGACATGATGGAGTGTCCCCCACCAAAGACAGAGAATGAGGTGTGAACGAGGAGGGTGGTGCCTGCCCTGGGATGGTGGGGAGAAAATGAGGGGTGACAACAACCAGCAGTGGGGCCTGGCCTGGCCGCTTGACTCACTCTGTGACTTCATTCACCAAACAGGCAGTGAGCGCTGTATGTCTGCCAAGATGGCGGGTTTACATCCAGATGGTGGAAAACCATCTACAAGATGCAGAGCGTTTGATTTGGTATTAGGGTCCCTCCCAGTTCTGACCCTAGGATTATCTGTTTCAGAGTCAACATTTGTTAAGTGCCGACCGCGTGCCAGGTCCTGTGGTGGGCACTGTGGTATGTCACCTGACTGAATTCGCTCCCCATCCCTGGGAGTCAGTATGGAGTGGCTAAAAACACAGGGGCTGGCATCTCACAGAGGAGTTCTGAGCCTGCCCCTGCTGAGCATCGATGACAGGAGGACCTCAGAGCCAGGGGCTGGATCTTTCTTAGCTTCGGTTTCCACAGTGGCATGGATGGGGGTGGGGGGCGGTGCTAACACTACCCACCTCGTAGGGGTGTGGTGAGCATGCAGTGGCTTCTCGAACATCCTTAGGGGGAGCGCCCAGCATCTGCTCCGATTCTCTACAGCGCAGCAGTGATGCTAATGCCCAGGTTCATTTTCTGACCCCGAGTTCCTAGAGGAGGAAATTGAAACTCAGAGAAGATGAGTAACTTGCCTTGAGGTCACATAGTTTAGCTAGTTTAGTGGTGAAAACTCCAGTCTCCAGACTTTAGGGCCAAGCACCCTTTCCTCTAGTCCACAGGGGATCTAAGGAGGCAAAGAAAGGTCTGAAACATCGAGTTGTCTAAAATTTCCGTTTACTGGGTGAAGAAAAGGGTTTATAAAGGCCCGTTCAGTGCTTGCTCCCTCGAGCCTCAGCCATGTTCATCGCCTCCACCTTTCTGTGTGAAAAGGGGGCAAAGTTTGGTCCTTTCTGCTGGTGTTCTGACCCCTCACATCCTGGGACATGGAGTGATCACTCCCTCTGTTTATGCTTTCCCAGCTGCTGCAGATGTTCTATCGACAGCAGGAGGAGATCCGAAGACTCCGGGAGCTGTTGACCCAGCGCGAGGTGCAGGCCAAACAGTTGGAACTGGAGGTCAAAAACTCGCGGATGGGCTCAGAGAGGTTCTGAGCAGAGACCTCTGCCCTCCCCACCCTCAGGGACACCACTCGGCTCCATGGGGAGGTCCAGAACCAAACCACAAGTCCCCCAAGAACAACCACTATTTCTATATTTTTTACCAGAAAACGAAAACTCTCGGTTGCTGAAAGATTCTAGTGGGAGGGATGTGGTGCCGTTTTTCTATTTGCCTTCTCAAAACAAGTGTCTGAAGTGACTCTTTTTAGACAGTAACTTGCCTTCTGTTTAATTCTGTGTTTAAGGGTCCACGATGAGATATAACTTCTCAAGGGAAAGAACACTGTATAAAGTTAGAGCTGGAAGGACCTAAGAGGGGAAGCTGCCTGTGATTTTCGGACTGTGGTCCACAGAATGGGAGGAAGCCTAAGCAGGAGGGCCATGCCCCCCCTCCAGCCCACTCCAACCAGACAGTTCCCTTTCTTTCTGATTTATATATTGGCTTCTGTGGAATAAGTAATTCTGCTTCTGAAACAATCTTTAGAAGTTTGAAAAACAGTGATCTGGCCCAACTTCCTCATTTTAGAGGTGGGGAAACTGAGGCTCAGAGAGAGAGAAGTGATCAAGGTCCGCAGAGGGTTCATGGCAGGGCTGGGTCAAGCCTCTGGTCTGCTGGGTCTGTCTTTCTGCTGTTTCTGGTCTGATGCAGCTCTCAGCCCACAGGGCAGGAATCCGTTTATTCTGGCCTCGGCTGTGCCCCTGATTTGTGCAGTGACCTCTTACAAGTCCTTCCCTCTCTGGTCTCAGTTTCTCCAGCTGAACCTGGGGGACCCTGGGGTGTGCTGCCCTCTACAGGATCTGCCACCTGAGACGAGAAACCTTGGCCTTGACCTAAGGAAAACTACCGAGAGGGTGATGATCAGGGTGTGCTGTAGGAACTCCCAAGACATTGGTGAATGGGCAGAGGAGATTTAACTGCGGGGAAATAAGTCAAGCTTTGGCCCAATGCTAGAACATAGATAGGAGGCTCCTACACCATCCTCTCTTCAACCAGAATCAGCCAAGTATGGGCAGACACTATCCCTTATGTGGGGGAGGAGACATCAGAGTGGTTCCCATGACCACGGACTGCCACCCCCAAAGTCCTCAGGCCACAGAGCCTGCCCGCTTCAGGAGGATATAGGCAGATTTTGGTCCAGGAGGTAGGGAGCCCCAGCACTGCAGGATGCCAGCAGAGCCCCATGGCCACCCACTTCTGGAGAGGGATGACTACACTAGGCAAGGGAGTAGGGCCGGATGACCCTGAAGTTCCCTTCTAGCCTGAGAGTTTTTATATGTCCCGCCTTTGGGAGTCTGTGTTCTGAGCCCATTCGTAAGGTTCTTTCTCAGTGGTCAGTACAGCAGTCTAGCTCGAGATGGAGAATGTTGGAAATTAAATGTACCCCCGCCTTACCGAGGAGGTGCAGGCGATGGGGTTTTGCCCACTGCACAGGGCAGTCCTGGAGCTAAGATGGGGACTGAGGAGGCCACCTAACCTGGTGGGTTTCAATGCAGGCTGTACATGAGAGTCCTCTGAGCAGGGTTCGGGAAATACAGATGCCCCGTCCCAACCGCAGGCCAGGTGAAGCTGCGTCTCCAGAGTAGGGCCTGGCTTTGTGTGTGTTGTTATAAGTTCCCAGGTATTCTGCAGTACAGTGAGGACGGAGAGCCGCTGGGCTAGCCCATCTATACGTAACTGCAGTATAGACGAGGACAGTGAGCCTCAGACAGGCTCCGGGACTCCAACCCCATTCTCTAAGTCCAGGTTGGAAGCGTTGTCCCATGTCTGTCTGGAATCCCTGGCTACAACAGGATGAGGGCTCTGGACCCCTGAGTGCCCCCTCCCCTAGCCATGGTTCTGACCCATTGTCTGCCTACACACGCCAGACACTCTCATCCCCTATCTTGTTGACTTGGTCACTGGGGCTCACCAAAGGCCAAATCCCAGGGGTTGTGAGGGAACAGAGCTCCCCTGGATGGGGTTCGCGGGCACACCCAGCTCTAATTCTAACATGGGCCAGGCAGGCATCATCCCCCTGGTCAGAATAATGACACTATCCCCATGTCATTCTCAGAGAATGAAGAAGTATCCCTCCCACCGGCACTGGCTGCAAACAGGAGGGGGGGCTGAGTCTGGGGAGCATCCCGAATGCCTCCTCTGCACAGAACCTTCTCGAGCTCTCCCTACCCCTTAAGGGACCCAGACCTCATGCTTAAAAACAATGTGAAGGCATCTGTGAACAAACTTGTTTTTTGGGTTTGCTTTTTTTTTTTTTTAACTAGAATAAATTATTTAAATTATTTCACAGCAAGGGAGAGGGATAGGTAATTTTTATCAAATATTTTTTTAAGCCATTTTTTAAAATTGCCTTTTTGTTTATGTTCTTGACTGATGAAGTAGAAGTTGCCCAGCATCTGTAGAGCCAGGCCGGCACACTCAGGGCAAGCAGAATGTGCACTCATCTCTTTACTCCATACTCTGGGAGCCCCCTGACTATTGACTCAGGAGCTTTCTGAGAATGAAGACAGCACTGGGAGATGAGCATTGGGGCGTATCCACCTTAGCTCTACAATAAATGTTCTTCCTGGAACTAAATTTAAGATTGTATCAGAGAGGGAAGAAGGAAATCAAAAATAGATCTATGCTTTTAATATGAAACCGTGCCTGAAACAGTTTGTTGTAATGTTTCTGAACTTCCTTTAACCTTTGTAAAAAAAAAAAAAAAAAAAAATTAAGAAATAAAAGTGAAAATAAATAGATGTGAAATCGTACAATGGAAAGAATGTAACAAAATAATAAACAACATCTGCCTAGAGATTTTAATACCTGGAGCTTTCCTATTCTTGATTTGTTACACAAATACCAATTAAGTATCTACTTGTTTGGGCCAGAGACCAGGCTGGGAAACAGATAAAACAGACTTGGTCCCTGCCCTCTGAAGTTTTCAGTCATGGTTGGAAGGAAGAGGAGGGCCAGGATGGGGGAAGTGTGGGCTGCTCTGGGAGAGAAGCAAGGAAGGCTTCCCGGGGGAGGCGATATTTAGGCAGACACCTGAAGGGTAAATAGAAGTAGGCAGGGCAAAGGGTATTTGGGGAAGAGAGGTCCCAAGAAGAGAAAACCGCCTATTCCCTGGTCTGGAAACAAAGGGTAGAGAGCATAAACAGGGCAGGGATCAAAGGTATTAAGAGCCAAGGATAGGAACTGAGAATTTTTTTTTCCATCTTTATTGAGATAACAATTGACAAAAGTTGTATATATTTAGATGGTACATGATTTTTAAAGATATACGATGTGATGATTTAATATATGTATACCTTGTGAAATGATTACCACCATCAAGTTAATTAACACATCTGTTATCTCACATAGTGTGTGGTGAGAACACTTGAGATCTACACGCAGAAAATTTCAAGTATACAGTACAGTATTATTAACTATAGTCACCAGGCTGTACCTTAGATCCCCAGAACTAAGGCAGCTTACAACTAAAAGTTTGTACCCTTTACCCCACCCCCCAAAGCCCCGGGCAACCACCATTCCACTCTGTTGCTAGGAGTTCAACTGCTTTTTTGTTTCTTTGGATTCCACATAGAAGTGAAACTAAACAGTATTTGTTTTTCTCTGCCTGGCCTATTTCACTGAGCATAAAGTCTTCCAAGCTCATCCATGTGGCAAAGGGCAGGATTTCCTTTTTTAGGTCTGAATAACATTTCACCGTATATACGCACAGCACATCTTCTTTATCCATTAATTCCTGGAAGGACACTGGTGGTTTCCACGTCTTGGCTATTGTGAATAACGCTGCAGTGCAGCCAGGAGTGCAGATATCGCTTCCAGATACTGACTTCATAATCTTCCCATATATACCCAGAAGGGAGATTGCTGATCATGGGGTAGTTCCATTTTTCATTTTTTGAGGAAACTCGATAGTGCTTTTCATGTTGGCTGTAGTAATTTACATTTGGTGGACGCGGAGACAGCCTGGGGCAATCAGAGTTTCCAGAGTGATTCTGACAGTTGTGGGAATGGTGATTTCTCCTGGGGAAAAGGGCAGAGAGAATCAAGGGGAAGTGAAAGGTGTCGGTAATGCACACCACCGGGGGAGGCTACAGCCAACAGGGCTTGCAGTTGCCCGAGCGTGACTGCACTCGCAAGACTGGGCGGGGAAGCCCACCTCCTTTAAGGCTGCCCACCGGGAGCGAGCCCCACTTCGGCTGCGGCCACCTCCGAGCCGCTAGGCTGGGTCTGAGCCCTCCGCGCCGCGGAAACTGCCAGGGCAGGCGGGGCGGGCGCGCAGCCCGCGGGGCAACATGGCGCCAAGACGGCAGCTACTCCCGGCCGGGCGCGCGCAGCCATCCTTCCCGCGGGAGCTGGGCCGGCCCGGGGCCGCCCCGCCCCACCGCCCAGCTTTCGATTCTCCGCGGGAGCCCCTCCCCCGCACCGCGGCCGCCCGAACCCGAGGGTTGAATGGCGGGCGCAGGGGCGCAGAGCGGGACACCTGGGGAGCCGGGCCCCGCGGAGCGCGAGGACGCGAGCGGCTGGCGCTGCCCGGAGCACGGCGACCGCGTGGCCGAGCTCTTCTGTCGCAGCTGCCGCCGCTGCGTGTGCGCGCTCTGCCCGGTGCTGGGCGCGCACCGCGGTCACCCGGTCGGCCTGGCGCTGGAGGAGGCGGTGCACGTGCAGGTGGGGACGGTGGGGCGCGCGGGGGGCGCAACGGCCGGGGAGGGCCGTGCCGGGTCGGCGGCCTGGTCAAGCTTCAGAGGAGGTGGGTTTGGGAGAACTTGGGAGTCCCGGCTGATACGCACGTGTCCTTGACCTCGTCCACCACGGCGGGTCCACCACACTGCCCTTGGGTTGGAAGAAGGTCTGCCCCCCCCCTTTTTGTTTTAAAGATTTTATTTATTTATTTGACAGAGAGAGACACAGCGAGAGAGGGAACACAAGCAGGGGGAGTGGGAGAGGGAGCAGGAGGCTTCCAGCCGAGTGGGATCCCGACGTGGGACTCGATTCCAGGACCCTGGGGTCATGACCTGAGCCGAAGGCAGATGCTTAACGACTGAGCCACCCAGGTGCCCCAGGTCTGCCCTTTAACGCAGATGAAAAGCCACACACATATCTCTGGTTTTCTCTCCTGGAGTTCACAGGCGGGGGCTGGGGAGTGCTTGATTGCCTGCCCTAGGAGGGGCCTCCAGCCACCCACTCCGCCCTTCCCCTCCACCCTTCCCCTCCGTGCCAGTTCCTGTTCCACGCATTTAACAGCCTGTGGGGAGCTGTGACAGCCATTTTATTGATAAGAAAAGGAAGATTCTGGAAGCTGAGGCTGGCTTTGACCCCAGGACTCCACAGCTGGATTGCCCCTACTGGCCCATTCTCACCTTGGAGGCCTCACCCGTGCGGAATCCTAATAGTGGTCAGGGGCTCTAGACTTTTATTCCGGCCTTGGGGACAACTTGTTCTGTGGCTCTGGTCAAATCCGCCTGCCTCCCTGGGATAGGCAGGCCTTCCTGTCTCTGACAGATGTAGATTCTACCACTTCCTCCTCCAAGAAGTCTTCTGTGATTAATGACCTTTCTCTTCACATTGTGACAACCTTGGAGCTCCAGGATGAAAATGGGCCCTGTGGGGGCTGGTCCAGTTGGTGGAGTCCTGGGTTTCAGGCCTGCCTCTGCCTCCAAGGTCTTCCTTTTCTTATCTATATAATGGCTGTAATAATAATAGCTCCTCAGAGGCTGTCTCCAGAGTTAACATGGCTGCTTTCCAGAGATAGGGCTTGGGTGTCTCACGGGCAGGTCCACCCACCTACCTACCTACCTATGAACTCATTTTGTGTTCACACATCTACCCACTCACCTGTTTATCCATCGTCCTTCCATCCACTCATCAAACATCCATTCAGCACATACCTTGTGCCATGAACTAAGGAATAGATCAATTCTTCCCTCATCTGGAGGAGTTCCCTGGCTGGTGGGGTGAGAACAGATGGTGACAATACAGTGTGGTAAGTATTGTGATTGGGAAGCCGGAGAGAAGACAATGTGAAGTAGGAAGAGGGAGCCCAGGAAGACTTCCTGGAGGAGTGCCATTGGAACTGTCCTTGACAGTCCTTGAAGGCTGAGTAGGATTTTACCAGGTAGCATTGACAGGAGAAGCATCCTGGGACTGCAAGGCCCAGGCACCAGGAGGCTGGGCTATCTGTGGGTGATGGACAGCAGCTAGACTTGAAGGCTTAGAAATCACAGTGGGGTAAGGATGTGCTCCTGGAATCTGAGGCTATGGCTTGTACTTCGGTTACCATCGTGTCTCCATCCCCACCCACTACCTAGAATACAGCTGCACACAGCAGCAAATGCTTGTTGGATGTTACAATGACAGTAAGAACTCTGTCGAGTACTTAGTGCCTGCCAAGCACTGCACCCAGCGCTCTGTGTACTTCTCATTCTCTGTGGCGACGCTGTGGGGTTAGCTCCATGTTTATAGCTGAGGAAACAGGTTTAGAGTGGTGAAGTCACTCGCTCAGTTCCCATGAAAGGGGAACCAGGACTCAGATCTAGGAGGTCTCATGGGACTCTGGGGCTGGTGCTCCTCACAGCTTCCTGGGTGGCTCCAGCTGTCCACTCGAAGTTGGCAGCCCTTGGTCATTGTGTTCGATTGAGCAGATGCTTCTGGGTCACTCCCTGGTCCCTGGGGGCAGAGCCAGGAATGGAGCAGGTCTGCCCTCAGAAAGCTTTCAGTTGGCTGGGCAGCCAGACCTGGGCCCCGCAGCTGAGCGTCAGGCCAGCTGTAAGAAGATCCGGATAGAGGTGGGGTCAGACCTGTGGGGAAGAGGGTCGCAGAGCACACCTGTGGAAAAATGGCAGTCACAAAACAGAGATATGGAAGGGAGCCATTTGAGGTGGGAGAGAGATGGGAGCATGAACCCCCACAGACCTCACACATGCAGGTCTTCTGAACCCCAGTCCAGGCCAAAGGGCCACAGGCTCCCTGGAATGTACGTTCCACGAGGGCAGCCCCTATGACAGGGCCTGGCACATAGTAGGTGCTCAGTTAATACCGATTCTATAAGTGAATGCTCTTCCCCTGTCCCCAGGCTGTTTGCCTTAAGGTCCTATTTGAGAAAATCAGGTCATAAGTAGGATTGTAGAAAAAAGGGAGGGGGCATCAAGGTTTGAAGAATATCTGACGTGGGCCTCTGAGGATCAGAGGGACTCTAGTTCTAGCTCATCCTCCAGTTTGCCCCGGGACTCTGGGCCCAGTCATCTCATCTTTTGAGTTTCAGATACCGCAACTGAAGCAAAATACAGGGGTGGGAGATGACCCCCGGGGTGGCTTGTTATCTCAAGAGTCACAGTATTAATTTTTTCTAACTCCTTCACATACAGAAACTCACCCAAGAATGTTTAAAGCAGTTGGAAGCCAAGAAGCACCAGCAAGTTGGCAACATAACCCAAATAGAAGATGCTGCTGAGAAGCTCAAGGCAAGTGGACATTTCTTCCTTATTCTAGTTGAGATGTCCACACTTTCCCTCAGACACAAGGCTCTCCTCAGTGTGGAGCCAAGGGAAAATAAAAACCTCAAAGGGGCAGATCCGGTTTGGTGGGGCTTGGGACTTCCAAAATTTAGGGGGGTTCTTTTGAAGAAAAAGAACACAAAATCAGGTGTAAGACCATAAAGGGGCCGGGCCAGAGAGGAGCCTGAAGCTTCTGTGTTGTTAGCTTCGTGTGGATCTACCTCTGCCCAACGCCCTAGTCTTGCCCCACAGCGCCTCACAAAATGGAGGAACAGTCTTTCCTGCCACCACCGCCAAGGCCATTCTCTTAGAGGGACTAGTTGTCCATCCCCTGCACCCCAGGTCACCTTAAACAAAGGAAAATGCAGCATAAAGAACGTGCAGATAGCTCTTTGGGTGTCACTGCTTTGTTGAAAGAACATAAATATGGTATAAGTATATTTCCATAAGTGAGTACTTTCTTCAGGCTTCTCCTTTCATAGCATTGTTTATTTAAATGGATTCTGTTGTGGGCTTGAAATGGGAAGCTGGGATTGATGTTATCGTGAGCTGCCATTTGACTCTAAAAAAGTTGTTCTGGGTTGTCTTTTGGTCCTTTTATGCGAACTGAGCTGGTCCCTTGCCCTCTCAGCCTCGGCTGCCCCCTCCTCGAAATGGGGGCTGGGGTGCGATGCCCTCCCAGCGACTCTCCCCCTGAGGGCTCTGTGAACCCTGGACCGACCCCCACAGTCAGGCAGAGAGACTGGCTCTGGCCGTGGGAATAGCTGGGACCCAGGACGTCCTGAGGCCAGGTCTGCAGCAGAGTGGAGATGCCGAGGCCCAGGCCAGGCCATGGAGTTGGCTGCCTGTTGGCCCAACATGCATGGTCTGTGACTGCATGCCCCAGCATGCTGGGGACAGTTGTGGTTTACACCTGTGGCCCCAGCTGCATTATTAATAGTATCCCTCATGTCGCCAAGAACATTTCTTGGGGGCTCAGGCAAATACATATATTTGAAAAGATTCGGGAAGGGATGGGGGAGGTGCTTTGGGCCGCTCAGCCAGAAGAACAGAATCCGGGTATGGAGTCACTGTCTGCAAACCTCTCGGCAGATATAGTTTGGGGGCCCGCAAGGAAAGAATTAGGACCCGTGTGCAGAGCCTAAGGGGGTACATTTAAGAAATGGGATTTTCTTTCTTTGAACCTTTTCCCCAACTTTTAAACTTTTATTTTGAAATAATTACAGATTCACAGGATGTTGCAGGGGTAGAACAGAGAAGTGTACCTTTCCCCTAGCTTGCCCCAAGGGTTAGATCTTCCCTAACTCCACTGCGACATCAAAACCAGAATTGATAGGGTGTGTGTATATAGTTCTATGTCAATTTCTCATACTGGTAGATTCGGGTAATAGCAACCAAAATACAGAACAATTCCATCACTGCCAAGATCTACCTCAGGCAACACCTTTATAGTTACCCCCGCTCCCCCCACAACAATCTCTAACCCCAGGCAATCACTAATCCGTTCTCCATCTCTATAATTACGGCATTTAAGAACGTCATAAAAATGGAATCATATGGTATATGACCTTTGAGATATTTTTCACTCAACATAATGCCCTCGAGATCCATCCAAGTTGTTTTGTCTATCAGTAGTTCATTCCTTCGTATTGCTGAATAATATCCCAGCCATCCAGTAGTACACACATGCTGCTTTTTTTTTAATTTGAACCTTTCATCTATGTTAGGACATTTTAGTTGTTTCCAGTTTGGGGCTATCACAAACAAAGCCGCTTTGAGCAATTGTGTACAGGTTTTTGTGTGGACGTAGTTTTCATTTCTCTGGGATAAATGCTGAGTGCTGGTTCAGGGTCCTTTGGAGCTTGTATGTTTAGCTTTTTGAGAAACTGCCAAAACAATTGTGCAGAGCGGCCGTGTCATCTTACGTCCCCAGCAGCAGCGATGAGAGATCCGGTTTCCGCTCTTGCTGGCCCACATGCAGTATTTGCACAGGTTTGTATTTTAGCTGTTCTGGCAGCTGTGCAGTGGTCCTCATTTGCATTTCCCCAGCGGCTGGTGATGCTGAACACCTTTCCATGTGCTTATTGGCCGCCTGTCTGTCTTTTTTGGTGAGAGGTCTCCTCTTCATGTTTTTTTACCACTTGCAGATTGGTTTGTCTGTTTTTTTTTTTTTACTGCTGAGTTTGGAGAGTTGTCTGTCTATGCTAGATAGGAGTCCTTTGTCAGGTATGTGGCTTACGAATATTTTCTCCCCGTCTGGGATTTGACATGTCATTGTTTTCACAGGGGCTTTTGCAGAGTGAAAGTTTTTAATTTCAAAGAAGTTCAGTTTACCCATTTTTTGTCTTTTATGGATTGTGCCCTTGGTGTCATGACTGAGAGAGCTCTTTGCCTAGCCCTAGATCCCAAATATTTCCCCTTTTTTTTTTTCTAAAAGTTTTATAATTTTACATTTTACATTGAAGTCCATGATTCTTGTTGAGTTACTTTTTTGTATAAGGTGTGAGATTTAGCTCAAGTTTTGTTTTTTTTTTTCCTTATGGATATCCAGTTGCTCCAACACCATTTGTTGAATTGCTTTTGTTGAAAATCAGTTGGCCGTACTTGGGTGGGGCTATTTCTGGGTTCTCTGTTCTGTTGCATCGATCTATGAGTCTCTCCCTCTACCATTATCACATGGTCTTTTTTTTTTTTTTTTTTTAAAGATTTTATTTATTTATTTGAGAGAGAGAATGAGATAGATAGAGAGAGCACAAGAGCGGGGAGTCAGAGGGAGGAGCAGACTCCCTGCTGAGCAGGGAGCCCGATGCGGGACTCGATCCCGGGACTCCAGGATCATGACCTGAGCCGAAGGCAGTCGCTTAACCAACTGAGCCACCCAGGCTCCCTATCACATGGTCTTGATTGTTAGAAGTGAGAATAAGTCCTGAAATAACTGATGCCTCCCACTATATTCGTTTTCAAAATCCTTTTAGCTGTTCTGGTTCCTTTGCCTTTCCATTTAAATTTTAGAAGGATCTTGTCTATAATCTCTACTACTTTGTTGGGATTTGGGAAGGACTGTATTCAGCGTGTAAGAAGTGACATCTTTACAATGTTATCTTCCCATCCGTGAATGTATATCTCTTCATTTATTTAGATTTTTGTTTTCTTCCGTCAGCATTTTGAAGTTTAGAGCATACAAATCCTGCACACGGTTTATTAGACTTACAGTTCAGTGACCCTCAGAAGGTACTAAGAAGAACGAAGTTAGCGGTCAGCATTTTAAAGCTGGGACTGATTGGTTGGTTGGTTGGTTGGTTGATCTGTAGAAAAATTTAAATATAGAAAAGTAGGAAGATATGGCTGTCCTAGGCCTGCACTCCCACATGGGAGCCGTTGGACCTGAGCAGTAGACACCCCCACAGGAAGGGTACCTATCTCCAGGTCTCCCAGCCCCCACCTGATCACCTCCCTCACTGTTACCAGCCTGGCTCCTGTGGGCATTTATGTTTCCATTCCTGGTCAAGAAACAGAGATTTAAAAATTCAGCCATACCCCTTCTCGGATCTTTCATTTGCAAATATCTTCTCCCATTCAGGAGGTTGCCTTTTGGTTTTATTGTTTCCTTTGCTGTGCAAAAGCTTTTTATTTTGATGTAGTCCCAACAGATTATTTTTGCTTTTGTCTCCTTCACCTTATGAGACATATCTAGAAAAATGTTGCTACAGCTGATGTAAGAGAAATTACTGCTTGTGCTCTCTTCTAGGATTTTTCTGGTTTCAGGTCTTTAACATTTAGGTCTTTAATCCATTTTGAATTTACTTTTGTGTATGATATAACAAAGTGGTCCAGTTTCATTCTTTGTCACAAAGCTGTCCAGTTTTCCCAACACCATTTGTTGAAGAGACTGTTTTTTTCCCATTGCATGCATATTCTTGCCTCCTTTGTCTTAGATTAATTAACCATATAGTTGTGGGTTTATTTCTGGGCTCTCTATTCTGTTCCACTGATCTATGTGTCTGTTTTTGTGCCAGTACCATACTGTTTTCATCACTACAGCTTTATAGATTATCTTGAAATCTGGGATTGTGATACCTCCAGTTTTGCTCCTTTTCCAAAATTCTGTTGGCTCTTTGAGGTCTTTTGTGGTTCCATTCAAATACATAAAGAACTTATACAACTCAACCCCCCCAAAAAACAAAAAATCCAGTTAAAAGTGGGCAGAAGACAGGGGTGCCTGGGTGGCACAGTTGGTTAAGTGTCCGACTCTTGGTTTCTGCTCAGGTCATGATCTCAAGGTCATGAGATGAAGCCCTGCATCAGGCTCTGCACTCAGCAGGGAGTCTGCTTGAAGATTCTCTCCTTCTGTCCCTCCCCACAGTCCTGTGTGTACACATGCTCTCTCTCTCTCCCAAATAAATAAATAAATCTTTTTTTTTAAAAGTGGGCAGAAGACAAACAGGCATTTCTCCATAGAAGACATCCACATGATCAACAGACACATGAAAAGATGCTCAAAATCACTACCCATCACGAAAATGCAAATCAAAACCGCAACGAGGGGCACCTGGGTGCTCAGTCGGTAGAGCATCCAACTCTTAATCTCAGGGTCATGAGTTTGAGGCCCGCATTGACTGTGGAGCCTACTTAAAAAAAAAAAAAAGAAAAAGAAAACCACAATGAGATACCATCTCACACCCATCAGAATGGCTTAAATCAAAAACACAAGAAACAGTAAGTGTTGGTGAGGATGTGGAGGAAGAGGAACAAACTGGTGCAGCCACTGGGGGAGACAGTATGGAGGCTCCTCAAAAAATTAAAAATAGAGGGGTGCCTGGGTGGCTCAGTCGGTTAAGCGTCTGCCTTTGGCTCAGGTCATGATCCCAGGGTCCTGGGATCGAGCCCTGCGTCGGGCTCCCTGCTCAGCACGAAGCCTGCTTCTCTGCCTGCCTCTCTGCCTACTTGTGCTCTCTCTGTCAAATAAA